AGTTTTTTGGTGTTTGTTCAGTTCTTCAACCGTCCCAGTTATTAATGGGAAAACATTGTGATTCTGTGTCTGTAGGTGTTTTGACAGGTGCACTTCTGGTGCGTGTTTTGCTGTTAATCGAGGCTCAACGTGAAGTTTGCGTGTAGGGTAAAACACTAAATGATATGATGGAAATAAACATCATTTTTCCAACAACAGCAAACCGAACTTTGGTTCAACTCATTATGTTTGGCTATGTTGATGGATACAAATTATTTTACAAAAGCAGATCCAGCGAAGACTTAGTCTTTTGATAGTCGTTGCTAATGTTTTTTCCACTGATCAGTGATCAGGGTGGGAGTGTGTAAGAGAAAGAAGAGAGAGAGGAGATCACACGCACAGGAAAACACAAAGTGCATGATAGAATATGGTATATTTATAGTTTAATTTTATTATTCATTTGTATGATGTACTTTAATTTATATAATTATTGCATTGTAATTAATATAATATACACCCGGCACATTACTGCGCCCCACAGGGGGTCCTGCCCCACTATTTGAATACTGACTTAGAGTAAACATTTATTTTTCTACAGATTTCAATACAAACCACATTATTTTAAGGTTTTATACTGACACTTGATGGACTAAGAACTATCCTGCAGAACATCCTGTAATCAAACTGCAACATGTGAACCTGGCACATTCTCCTAGCTCTTCATGGTAAACATCTGTATATGATGTTTGTCCGAGCGTCCCAGGGTGTAGAGAGGTTATGTCCTGTCTCCTGTGTTTTCTCTACTTCTGTTCTATACTGTATATGTGTGTGTACCATTTTCTAGCCAAATTCAAACTGAGTTACCAGATAAGCGGTCAGTCTATCAGTGATCAGTCAATTATGGTTAAAGCAGGTACCTTCCTTTAAGGTGTACTCCTTGCTGGTAGAATCATTACTGCAAATGAATTCTCAGCTGTCCTCAAACCTCGGAGCAGCGTTTTAAGTTTGAATGTTTCCTGTTGAAGTTCCCTGCTGTACATCAAAGGCAACTTTGTGGTTTTTGGGAAAATGTCAGGTAGAGAAACTACAGCTGCAGAGGTTGACGTATACACCCCGTACACTCAGACCCCCTCTGTGTGGCAGGGACCTCAGCAGCCTTTTCATTAATCTTCACTTATCGTTTGCCAGACTGAAAGTTGAGGAGGTTCAGTTTGTTTGGTTTTTTTCCTATTTTAGCTGCACACGTGTACTGTAATAAAAAACAAGCAAATTGCTTTGTTTTTCAATTTGATTTCCTGGGATTAAAGTGCAGACATTCATAAAACAGCAACATATTAGACAAACACAGCAAAAGGCAAGTGAGGAATCTGACTTTAAAGGCAGTGGTAGTCACGACACAACCATAAAAGAGATGTTTGGACAACAGAAAAGAATTGTTTTGTCTTTCGGTTTTTTCTACCTGTAAACACCAGAAGTGATGGCAACGATGGTTCACTGCTGCTGAACGACTTCAGCCAATCACACCCCAGCCCCACTGCTGCATGTCTGTCCATACTTGTAGTGTCTCTGGTTTGTGTTAGGTGCCTTCCTGCTGCAAGATACAGTCAGAGACCCAGGGCCACAAAGTGGAATGGTGGTTGTTGCCATTACCAGACAGCAAGAACATCACCAGTCCAAACAGATGGTCCATGTTCTACCCATGTGTACGGAGTATTTCTCCAAGTATTCCAGTTTCCTCCCACAGTCCAAAAACATACAGGCTGAGATCAGTGGACACTGTTAAACTGTCCAGGATGTTCTCTGAATTTACTTAATGACTGCTGGGATTGGCTCCAGGTGTGTACTCTGTATATAACAATAGAACATGGCTAGCAGTTGTCACACTGTGCTATATCTTCTAATGATTACGCTGGATCACATCAGGTCTGCAGTTAAGGACTTAGAACCCAGTCCTAGCTACTGGTGTTTTTTCAACAGTAATTCTTAATCAACCATAGTAACAGCAACAGCTACTTGTCGCAAAGCAGTTTGCTGTTGAGTTAGCCTCCAGTCTTTAAAATACAACAACACAACATAACAAAGAAGAAATATTTTTTCAATGCAATTATTTATAAAGACTACTACTAATGTTTGTGTCAGTGAGTGTTGCTTTCTTCGCTACTTGTCACACTGTATTCCTGCACTAAGTGTTTGAGGTGGAAGTAAATAATAATAATAATAACAATAATAATAATAATGATGATGATGATATTATATTGGTCTAACTTTAGCCAGAAATGAATCTTCTACCTTGAGTTGAACTGTGTGACAAACAGATGCATAACATAAAACTGCAACCCTTATATACAGTATGTATTAAATGACCAGTGTGTGCATACTCACACCTTGTCGAGCCTACCACATACTGAGACAGTTAAATCTCAGTTTTATTTTCTGCATGTAGCTGCTGGCCACCAGCCCTGAGTGATAAAACACTGGCTCTGTAAGGGAGTACTAATGACTTCACATGTTGTTCTGTTGCCATTTTTCTATCTACAGGTCAGCACACACACACACACACACACACACACACATATGAGAGAGAAGTCTCAGTCTTGGACTCAGGTTTCTCTTTTAGTTCCCAGTAGAGGTGTCATTCCAACATGGGTTAGCACTGTAATTGATGCGAAGGGCTTCGATGGTCGTATTGTTTCCTAAAGTGTGCTAATCTCACAGAAACACTGGCTCATAATGTAAACACACCTGTGTCCTGTGACAATGCCACCTCCAGTCTCCCTCAACCGCCTCCCACCTCCCTCCTCCTTTGGTTTTTACCATTTTCTGTGATCGAGATTGAAATGACTCTACTGTATGACCACTTACAGCATGTTTATGAACAGAAGAAGTTCTTAACTATTGTGTTTGTGTGTGAGAGAGCGAGAGAGAGAGAGCACTTAGACTCACAGAGTTACAATTCTTCTTACCTGAACACAACCATTAAAAGTATAGGCCTAATCTTAATCCTTATTGTAAATTTCACCCTAAATTGAACCCTGACCTTTAATTTAATCTAGAACCTTAAAATATGCTCTCACCCAGTGAGGAGCTGCATATTATCTCCACAAGAACACGATGTGCCAATTATTTTTTCATATTTTTCGTGATTAAATTTTTTTTAAAGACATCCCCACATTGTTATTCCTCCCTCTCCTAACCCCTTATTGTACTCTGAGTAACATAATCCTCCTGCGTAATGATACCTAAGCTGACTGATAAAATACAAAATAAAGAAAACATGAGATAAGATTCTTCACCAGAGGGAGTCTACAGGTCAGAGGGAAGGCTCGGTCCAAACCTGTGGATGGGTTCATGAACACGAAGATAGTGATTTCAGCTGGAGGTCAAAGGTTACTAGGTCAATCAGTCAATCTGACTTATGTGTCCAGGTTTCATGTCTTTCTCATGGTGTATGGACTATACTAGTTATTGACAAATTAAGGTAGCTTTACAAATTAATCAAACGAAATAGAAATAGGTGAAGTCATTATTTAAACCTGGTGCTTAACTAAGGTCAGAATATTCCCAAATTGTAATATAATGTTGCACCATAAGGAATATAATGTAAAATAAACAAATGTCACTATTGTTTTGAGCTAATGTAAATGTTTTGGTTATGTGTTCTTACTCATTTGAAACTGTTAGTGCAGCACGTACCGTGTGTTTATAATGTTTTACATTGTGGTTTTACTGTACGGCAGCTACACCGTGATTTAAATATGAATAAAAGTCAACATAACAGAGCTTGCTCTCATTTGCTGACTGGTTTCTGACCCGAGTAGCTGTTTCTGTTACAGTCATGAGTGTACAGTATGTGGTCATATGGAATTTACCACAGATTGAGGAATATGGGAAAGTTTTCCTGCCCCCATGAGTAACCACTGGGTCAGAGTCAATAACAATGGCTGACCCTGCTGACCCCTAGACTTTACACAAGAAATTATTAACTGTAATATCATGCAGATTGATGCCCTGCCCCGATGAGGTGGAGGTACATTAGCATTGTGCTAACTTTTTTTTAAAAATCACACCTGTTCACCAGGAGAGATAGCAGAAGAAAAACAACAGCAGTTATATAACCCAGTCCACAGAAATGTCAAACGGTGCTCTCCCTCAGAGGTCACCCTGACTAAAACTAATCCCTTTGGCCCGATCCACATCATCTGATACACCCCCTCTGCCTCCCCCTCCTAGATCAGAGAATGACGTGACCCTGCCAGACGTCTCTAACTAACAAATGAAGCAGATCATAGGCTTTAGATGAAAAAAAAGAATTCAGTTATTTAAGAAAATTTCAAACAGATGAAGAAATGAACTTAACAATGAACCTGAATAATCGATGATACACCTGTGTTCTCATCCGTCTGTTGCCTGGTAATTAAGTGGATGCCAACTGGGACCGGGGTAGCCCACTCCCACGGGAAAAAACTCAAAGCAAACTTTTGTTTACCAGGGAGTAGACAGCGGACACTGACAGTATTGCAATATTTCCATGAACAGGCACTCCTTCTCCCAGGGCTGGAGCGCTCTTATCAGTTGACGATAGGAAAGAATAAGTAATAATGCACGCTGAGACCCGGCCAAATGAGAAGTGTCCATCAAAATCCAGAACTGCTGTGAGATCTGCAGCGCGTGTTTGTGTTACACATCAGCCGGCCACTGTCTGAGCCTGGCTCGTGTTTGACCTATGATAATGATCCATCTACACTTCACCTCTAACCCCACTAAACTAAACCAGGTGTGTGTGGTGTGAGCACCGAGGGTGGGGGGCCATGACTGTGTTTATGTGCATGGAGGACCCCTGGCTGAGCTGAGTGACAGCTCTGAACAGTTCCTGGTACCAGGGGGGTGATGTTGAGGGTAGAAAAGGTGGAGGAAAAGGAGGGAGAATGAGTGTTTTCCTTGTTGTTTCACTTTTCCTTTCCTCCCCATCCAGATGGACATTAACTTCTCTGTGTGTTTGTCATCCATACAATGCCCTGCAGAGAGAGAGCAGCAGGCCCTGCAGTAAACAAGTGTCCACACAACAATGACAGAGGAGCGGAGAGCAGCTGTGGGCAGGTGGCCTCGGCTGAGTGATCGGTGTTAAGGGGTCACGTGTTGGTCACACCTCCCATCAAATATGCAGTTTGCCAGGTAAACAACCTGCTGAGAGGAAATCCTGTCTGTCAAACAGCAGAGAGACAGTGACGTCAGACTCCTGACCCTGGAGTCAACCAGCTTTGTCCCACCACACCCACCCACACCATCACAACGATTGACATGTCTACATACAAACACACCAACCAGTTCCTGTGCTCTTGTTTTTCACAGTTGCCTAAAGTAGGGTCTGCGGGCCATCTATTGTACTTATTGTACTTTTCTTATCTGTGTGTTCTTACTGTTGTCTATCTGTCTGTATATGTATTTATCTATAACTATGTTGTAAAACTTATCATTTACACATATATATATATAAATCCCAAAAATGACTTTCTGCAGATTTTGCCATCTGAAATGGTCTAAACAGTTACAGCATCTGTTTACACAGTGGTGTTGATTTGTGATGTGTTTTTTTTTTTTCTCCTTCTTTGTGAAGAAGTCGACAGAATGTGGCACAACAAAGCTAGATGAAACAGACATTTTGTCCAGGACTTTGAAGCCATCCATCAAACTGACAACGGCAGTTCACTTTGAACCACAAATGTGCTCATTGTTGTGCTACAACAAAGTCAGAAGATTCTTACAATTGCCAGGAGTAATTCTCATGGAAAAGTTGCCTGCCTCCAACGCCTGTTCCCTGACATGCTGTCAGTGTTTATTGGGGGAAAACCACTTCCTCAGACCTCGGACCAGTTCTGTTTTCTTTCTATGTTCTGCACCGAGGTCTGCAGAACCGGAGAAACTCTGTGAAGGAGTGAGAAAAAGGTTGTGAATGTTTCTGTTGTTGAGTCATCAGTTAGCTCTTTTGTATTTATGAAACATGAGTTCTTTGGTAGCTGTGCAGTTGTCGGCCTCACGTTTACCTGGTCGTAGGTGGCAGGTTGTGTTTTGATGAACGTTCAGGCCTCGTTCTACCACGGTACAAACCTGATTTAATACTCACACAGGATGCCGTTTTATGTGTGTGTGTCTCAGCGTCGTCCTCAGATCCAAAGCCAGGCAGACAAACAAACTGTGTGTGTGTGTGTCATGTGTCTGTGTGTGTGTAGGTTCCTGCATTTGAAATGTGTTTAGTTTGGATTTTGGGGGGAAAACTTCACACTGCCAGGGTCTAAAACATCTCTGTCTGTCCAGAGCAGAGATGGCGGGGGTCCCAAGTAACTGATCTGAATTCAGTGGGTGGTTGTAAATGGTTCTATCAGTTTGCTGCTCAGGACTACAGCACGAGAACGGCCAAAACTGACAACTGTAGCACAGGCTCAGCCGTGAGTCAAATTGTTTCATTACAGTACATCAAACAACAAAACACCCACAGGATGAGAGCGTTTCCTCTTCTTACACATCCCCTTCATCTGTGCTCCAAACCCCTGGGGAGATTCTTCAAAGATGGCCACGGTCGTCTGCTGCATCACAGCAGCAGCAGTTTGCTTTCATTCCTTTATTCTAATGTCTCTGGCTCACCTCTGTGGTCCCATCGTTTCCTTGTGAGCAGACGGAAACCTGGTTGTGTGTTTTGTGTAACCATCGCTCTGTTATAAGGCAGACATCCATTAATGAAAGTGCAGTCTGTGCCTTCCTGGATGTTGGCGCTCCCTCAGACAAAGCTATTTTAGAGTTGTGATACCGGAAAACACATTCACATGCACACACGGGCCTGTAAATAGAGCCGTGGGCCTTGATGCCCTCAAAGACGCCGGGGGTAGAATTTCCGTCTGAGTTCCGAGACAGGATCTTCTGCATGGTGTACAGTATGGGAACGGGCTGATGTGAGATGAAGGGTGGGAGAGGAGAAGATGTGTCACTGGGTTTAAAATATTTGACCAGCCATCCATCCATTCAGGTTACAACTGGTTATGAAAAGAGGTCAATTTGTCCAACATATATCACTGGGACCAAATGACCAGTATTTTTTCCCCTTTTTTATTACATAAACGCCCCATAGGTGGCAGTGTTGAGGCTGAAAGGAGACTAGTAAAATTATTAAAATTACAAACTCAAGGAGGAAGGGACAAATGCAAATGGCTTTTGTCATGTCAGGTTAAATACATGTTTTTAGCATATTATTGAACAACAGAAGTTGATTTTAACACTAAGAGAGAATGTGAAACTTTAAATCTTTAAATAGAAACACAAGAGGTTTTGATGCAAGTAAATGTTTGTGAACTTCTGGCTTTGTAATCCATGTTTTTTATCGTAAAATTGTTGGCGTTGAAGGTGAAAAGCCTTAAAGATGAACAAAGGGACGATCGCCACCTTGTCAGCCTATAATTAACTGATCTCTCTGGCATCAGGAGCGTGCCTTATGGCCAGTGCTAGCTTGTTGTTCTCGTTGAATAAGTTGTAACTGTAGGTAAAAGGATTCAATTCGTAGAAAATAATAAAACTTTACCTGTGGACTGAACTCAGTGTTGAACTTTACTAGCTTTATCTGTAGAGGAGCGGAAAAAAACAACTAAATGCTCTGTGTTTACTCACAGCAACTATAAGTTCCTGTACATCCATCTTTTTTTTTTCGTCTTCTTTTTCTTCTTTCTGCAGTGGTAGTGTCATTTATTTAAGAAGTAGAAACAAACTGGTGTTGTCACTAATTAAAAGTTAGAATATTCCTCGAAAAGCTTTGGTGGAGGGAAAAGTCCTTGAATAACCAAAACCAATTTTCCCCTAAATAATGGCCTTGAATTGGTCATTAGTGTTTTCTTTTTGAGGCAAATAGACATGTTATAGCTGTGTTAAAACTTTATGAGCACAGGCCCAGCTGGACAGCTCTGTGGTGAGGCTGTTGGAAACAAGTCTGATGAGGTTGGCAAGTCCCAGCCAAACCCAAAGTTTTGGGCCCCGAAGCCCAAACAACAAGCTGTGAAGGGAAGTGGAATGTTGTGTTGGTTTGTTTGAATGCACAGCACTTAGGCATAGATTTCCTGAACGGTGCAGCTTCAAGTGCAAAATATGAACACAATTCATTTATTATTATTGTTATTCCTAGGTGACAGCCTCTGTTGTTTCAATCATCCTCTGGGAAAGTAAAAACAGAACTTGAGTCCAGACTGGGGTTGATCCCTTGAGTTTATCTTATCAGCTCCTTCACCTGGTGCATCCTGAAAGGCCTCTGTCTGAAGAAGCACTACGGAATTTATTTTTGTCCTGCTACGGTTGTGGAAGTTTGGGAGTGACTTATTTACCTGGACTAAAGCCACTTTTCATTGAAGAGAAATACATGTGTTCCCCTTTAGAGGTACGCGAGTGTGTTTTTGCATGTGTGCTCTGTTTCTATTTGTCCGCCCTGTTTTTTGTAAATCATTTTCTTTTTAAGACCCATTAGACCTCATGGGGACCAAAGTCTACTTCTAATGAGGCAGAACCTGATTTCTGTGGGGTTCGCTTAAGTCATTATCCGTGCTAGTGAACATTATTTAACACTAAATTTGTATTGTAATGCCATTAGGTAATGCTCTCCCTGCAGCATCTCAAAGACAGAAAGCATTACATCAGATCATACAGTAATGGACTGGCAGCTCCTAAAGAGCCTCAGGACACTCTTCTGGCCGGGACCAAAGGTCACTCTGTTCAAGGGTGAATCATACAGCATGGGAGGTGCATGATGTTTGGAAGTGAGTGTGTCGCTGCATATACAGTGTGGGCTAAACCATCTGCACCTCACCACAGTCAGGGAGTGTTACGAAACAGGATCCCTGTCTGTATATAGGTATGAACGCGAGAGGAAAACACACGCCCTTCAGCATCCTCATCTGCATCTCAACAGATCCTGTTTTTAGGGCCAGCTATAGAGGGTATCACTAATTTACAAACACACACACACGTTAGTGGTAAGCGTTGGAGGAAGGGGGCTATTGAGAGCCTTTAAACAAAAAGACATTTTTAGAAAGGTGTTCATAAGCTAGAAAACAAAGAAGGGAAGTGACATGATGTCCCGCGGGGAATCTGAGGGTCACGGCTGACATGGTGTACACGCCTATGGAGCAGCCTCGTACATATATTCGCACAGTCACTGACTCACCCTTAAACACACACGCAGACCCACCCAGAGTGACAAACACTGCCGAGGTCGCATGAGTTGTTCTCAAAATACCTTTTTTCCTTTTCTTCGTACGAATTTATCAATACTGGGATCTTGGGGAAGTTTACTTCCCTCTCCAGGAGACTACAAGAAATTCATGTTGACTTGAGGGATGTTTTGTCACACACACATGGCAACCTTGGGAATAACTAACCAAAAAAAAATATATTTGTATATATATGTACACGTGTGTGTGTGTGTGTAATATATGTAATATATATAATAGCATTGTGTAAAATGTGTTTGGTTTTAATTGACGTCTTTCCTCATGTGAGCAGTGAGAGCGTGTTCCATTCTGTTGTGTTTACAGGAAGTGTTTACTTGTCAACCATCCAGCGGCTTTGTATCTAAACATAGCACAGGACAAAGAAAGAGACAGAGACGAAAATATGTTTTTATTAATGGTTCAAAATCACAATCGTGTGGTTGGAGCTGGATTATTGTTATTAGGTTGGCATGGTAACTGGTGGCAAAGGAATAGATTTTAGCACATTGTACACAACGCATGTTTAATTATCGCAAATTAGAGGAAATCTATGAAACTCTTGGACAAACGTAGCTATTTTACCATAATTTGTTTGAAAATAAATTAAATCATACAGTTTGAATTCACTGCAATTCCTAGATTTTTCTCAATGTATTTCTTAAGAACCTGAAAGATCAGGTGTTCGTAGCTACATACCATACAGTGGGTTTATATGATATTAAACAAACTTGGAAAATAGCGGTTCTCAAAAGCCTGTACAGTATAGTAGTGGATTCTGTTGCTGTCTGCCATCCAGAAATGAAGCGTCAGCAAAGATCATCAGCAGTGTTGTAAGATGAAAACATCAACTGTTGGCTCAGTCAGGTGCACACTCTCTGCTGGTGTGTGTGGTATTGCCCCTGGTTCTGCAATTTGTTCTGATAGTCCAAAAATGCACTTCATGACAACTGGATAGTAGCAGTATACTTTATGTGCCAGTAGAAAATGGATGGATGGATGGATTGATGGAAAGTTGGGTGGATGGATGGATGGATGGATGATTGATGTAAGGATGATGGATGGATGGATGGATGGAATACTGAGGACACAGAAGCAACATCAAATGTTGGGTTCAAAAACTCAAGATGATAAAAATACAATTTTAAAAATCCTGGCCATCCTGAAAGTTATCTTTGGCTTCGGTCAAACCCCACGCTGGTTTCTAGGTTTTATTCTACAAAATAATCATATTTTTAGAAAGAAAATTGTGAACCTATCCTTTAAAGCTCGTGAGATCTGATCTGGAAATAGTTGTGTACACACTCACACATCTGGTGTAGGTTTGGATATGTTACAGAGTGTACAGATCTCAAAACCAGAGGGGGTAGATCCATCAATCATGCCTTCCCCTCTCTAGTTCTCTTTGTCTTCAAGACGCTTGAGGCTTCCAGGGGGGGGAATATACTTTGGGTTTAATGTTACAGTTAAGGTAAAGCTTATGCTTCTTCTTTTTGAGTCCAGATAGAGCAGAGTGGGGGCCACACGGTGGTGAACGGCTGAACTTCATCACCGTCATCGTGACAGTGATACGACCTAATCTGGCTTAGATGAAGTCTCTGAAGAGTTGTAAATAAGAGGATTGTGTTACATCTGATTTGCAAAGGGTATTGCAACTGCTTCTGGGAGAAAGTTAAGCTGCTGCACAACTTCACAGAAATAATAGTGAAAGAAAGAGCATCAACAACATTTTTGTGTGACTTCACATCTTTTAGTGGCACGACAAAAACTGCAGACGGAGAAGATGAGTGTCAAATGTAATCAGCAAGTACACACAACAGGACAGAGAGGAAAACAAGGTTCTGTGACCATCCCATTGTACTGATGTCACGTCAAAGCATCATCTCCTTCGTGTTCGTGCTTAATATCGGGAGTCCTTACATGACTTGTGCACAGAGCCCGTCTGTCGGGAGCATCTTTTTCTGTTTTGGCTATTTAGGACAAATAAATTGCAGTATCTGTGGGAAAGTACTCAACGCAGGAATCTGCTCTCCTACGACATTGAGTACTGTAAAGAGAAAAAAAGACCGAGCTGTTCCACTTCCCCTCGCTGTTTATGAACGAAACCCAGCTGTTAACAAACAAAACAGTAGGGAAACATAGTAAGGTCTATCTTTTGATATTTTAATCGGCAGCAGTACCTTAATAGTTACAAGTCCTTCATACTGTACTGTATGTACAGTATGTAAACTCCAGTCTGGTCACCTGTCCTCCAGTTGTCCTGGACAGTTCAGTGTCAGTCCACCACAGGGTTCAAACAGGACTGAATTGCAGGTAAATATTGAAAAAAGTACATGTCGCACGGCCAAAAATACTACAGCAGAACTTGAGAATAAAACAATACAGCATTAGCGATGCAAAAAAGCAGTACATTTGGGAAACAGAGTGAGAAAGAAATGGATCTGAGGAAACATTGGATAAGGAAGGGACAGAAACTGCTGCAAAACCAATTAGGATAAAAGTTAACAGAAAGGTTTCGGTAACAAGGGAGCAGAAAGCGAACATGTGATTTCAGACTAACAGCAGGTTCCAAAGAAAATGATCATGTGTTATCATCATGTGTTATTGTTTTGGTACATGAAAATAAAGCTAAAGTTCAAGGTTGCTAAAGTTCAGGTTACTGTGTGGCGGTGTTCCTCTGCGTCCACTTTGGGTTCAGTTTGGGTGAGCAGATAATTTCAAATAATGTTCTGAAAATCCTGTCTTTCTGTAGCCAGAACTAATTTCCTCAGCAGTGTGTTATTCTTTCTGACTGAGCTCACACGGACACAAAGACACCAACCCTGGCGTTACTATAGCGTCAAAAGCTTCAGAAACATAGGGCAGAGCCAACCTGTAGAGCCAGGTGCAGTTATGTTTATGTTCTCTGAATAAGAGTGGTAAATATTATTGTAGCCTGCTGCTTCAGACTCTACTCCGTTTATAGCTGGGCGACAGGTCCAACGTCAATTAAACAGAGGTGGTACTCGCTGACAGAGGGAGAGAGAGTCACAGCAGTTCCAGATGACGTGGACTCCAACAACTCCAACTTTGGAGCTGAGTAAAACTTTTTACATCAACATTTAAAATAAATTATTCCTCTCTATATTTTATAATTTTTAGAGGTAGGCAATCTGTGAGAATGTCATTTTAGACACTTAATTTGAACCATAGGAGCCCATAGCCAAAGAAGTTTACTTTTTCATAAGGAAAATGGTTCTCTTTGTGAGTGTTATTGACTAAGAACGAAAAACAGAAACAAGAAATAACGTACAATTGTCTGGTTGTTGGCTGGTAGAAAATTACATTTCCTGTCATCATCAGACGTAGCATAAGTCATAATAAGCAGTACAAACTGGTCATGTTCCTTTTGGAAAAAGTCAAAGGAAGTTTAATATATAAAACACTGAGTGTGCTCCCTTTTTTTCAAATCATTTTTATCTGTTAAAGAAAAAAAAAGAACACATAGTGATTCCATTTAATTCCGTGCCTGCCTGCAATTACTGAGGAACCATCCAGAATGGGACTTATTTTGTTTTATTGTTCTAAATGTCTTCCTTCAGTTTGGGACAGCAAGTGCACTGGTAACAACTCAGTGTTCACTTATTAAGATTCACTTGCTACACTTATTGCTACAGTCCCCACACTGTCTCCTGGTTCTCTTCCTCCCTTTCCTATTCTCACCTCAGATTAATATAAGACTGTTGATATATGCCCTGCATGCTTCTTATGTGTTCAGATCAAATCTACCCCTCTGTCTGCATAAAA